TGGGGTGTATACCCCCCCTGAATTCTCTAACACCCACCCCACTCCAGTTTTGTGAACTAGTTACATGCCGATTTAGTGACTGTTTGGAAATTTGAATTGAAGTTGAAACATTAATACACACTTTAAAAGCATATACAATGTATGATAAGATATGTGTATCTGAAAAAGTATAATAGATTTGAAAAGTATGAACATAGACTAGCTTCCTTATACAGCTGTTGTTTTTTATGACAATGTCAGTGCATTCATTTTGGTGATGTTGGCCAACCTAATAATTTCAAATTATGATTTCTAAGCAAAGTCAAAATGAGCTCTCCCTGACAGCTAGTGATGGGCTGGGGGGAAAGGCTTCAGGACCAGATTGTATTCAATCACACCTAATCTACCTAGGTATCCAGCAAACAGAGCTGTGTTGCCCAAGTGATAGATTTTGTTTGGGATTGGGTTACAAATCACTTGAATGTGGGGGGGAGAGGGGAGAATATGAAATGTTGTTGTTTTTATTGTATAAATAAAGGGCAGTAGAACTGTACTTAACCTGTACTGATTAAGGGCATCAAGAGAGAGGGTGGAGACAAGTGTTTTGCTTGATAGTCTGTCTGAGTCACAAAAGTACTATTTGACCTGCCCCTCTCCACTGTTTAAAGACAGAGCTGATTAGGCTCCATATATAGTCTTTTGTTTTGTTAAGAGACCACTACAGCTGAAATCACTGATAATCATGTCTAAGTGCTTAGTCCTGCTGTGGGGACAGTGTTCCTGTGGGTACAGTGTTTTTGTGTAAGAGACAGCCCAGACTGTACTAGCAGTGAGGTTCCCCCACTGAGAGCTCAGCTGAAATCACTGAGAGCTGGGTGGAACCTCAAGAGATCAACTTGCAGAGGGATTAGGCTCCATATATAGTCTTTTGTTTTGTTAAGAGACCACTACAGCTGAAATCACTGATAATCATGTCTAAGTGCTTAGTCCTGCTGTGGGGACAGTGTTCCTGTGGGTACAGTGTTTTTGTGTAAGAGACAGCCCAGACTGTACTAGCAGTGAGGTTCCCCCACTGAGAGCTCAGCTGAAATCACTAAGAGCTGGGTGGAACCTCAAGAGATCAACTTGCAGAGGTCACTGTGGCAGCAGAAGGTGACAGCACAGGGCCATTGGCAAGAGAGCGATGAACAGTGGCACAATGAACAACAGTGGCCAGAGCGAACAATGAGCAGCTGGAGGAACAAGCAAGGTGCCTTCTTGCCTCCCACCTGGGAGGTGTACTCATGTGAAAGCACCTCTGAACTCTGAGTCTCCACTGACCAAGGACAACACTGGTGAGTGGGGTGAGCTGGAGGGGAAAATGAGGGGCACATTAAATAAACATTTGTTTGTTGGACTATATTTTAGTGACTTTGCTCCAGAATACTAGATTTGTGACTGGGAATGGAAACATATAAATGTTTCCTAGTAGGCCAAGATTTTTAAAATGAATTATTTGCCAAGGTTGTTGTTTCACATTGTTGCTATCTTGAGAGGTCATTCTGTTGGGGAGTTTCTGTACTAAACACTTTTATTATTATAATTAATTTTTACATAAGAATGGTCAGACCAGTGGTCCATATAACCTAGTATCCTGTCTACCGACAGTGGTCAAGGCCAGGTGCTTCAAAGGGAATGAATAGAACAGGTAATAAAGTAATCCATCCCCTGTTGACCATGGGCATCAAGTATTAAGTCATTGTGTACGTTATCTTGATGTCAGTGGTAGGCCAGTAGATGCATTTCTAGATGTTCAAGTTATAGAAAACACATTGGCTGCATCTCTGACAACCCACATCTTAGAAGAGTTAAATGCTTTTCAATTGGACCCCAAACAGTTGGTTGCTTGTGCATTTGGAGCTGCAAACTTCTCTGGAAGACATGGTGGAGTACAAGCTTTGCTCAGAGAAAAGTGTAATCCTAATCTCTCCTATACACACTGCAGAGGCCATCTACTCCAACTAGCACTAGTACGAGCTGCAAAATCTTCAAAAGACATTAAAAAAAGCTATAAATTTAATGTCTTAATTATATTCTTTTTTCAGCAAGAGTCCAAAAACACTGAATATCTTGGAAAATATAGAAGATACACTGGGACTGAAGTTCAAATTAGTCCAATTTGGGAAAACCCGCTGGCTTTCTCATGAGTGATCCTTGGCTGTTGTCTTAAAATTACTCCAGCCATTATTACTGGCTTTGGAAAGTATCTACCACGATGGGATGGATCTAAGTAGTGAGGGTGGTGGATTACTTTTGCTACTACGTTCAGAGAAGACTATTGCCATTCTCTCTCTCATAAATCTACTGTTGAAACCACTTAGGTCATTAAACAATACCATTCAGGCATCTGCTACAACAGTAGTAGACCTTTGTCCAGCAATAGAAGCTACAGAGAGCTATCCATTGAAAAAGTACTGGAAGAAGCAAAGATTTCAGTCCAGAAGTTGACTAATGAAGGCATTTATATTGAATCCTTAGGTGAAGAGGACAGGAAGTGTTTGTTAAGACAGCTGAAAAAGTACACAGACTTGATTCTTAAAAATCTACAACAACGACTTCTAGATTCTACTCAACCTCTACGTAGCTTTTACAGATGCCTGTCCTATAAAACACTGACAGTCGAGTGGAGTGAGGCACTACCAGCAATGGGGCTGCCATGTGCTCAGGACAGAATAGAGAATTTGAACACAGAGTGGAATATCATACCACGAATGAATGAAGATTTGACTTCAACTTCTTTTTTATCATCACTAGTGGCTCAACCGGATCTTGTGCTATGTTTCCTGGAATGAAAGTAAGAATTCATCTCTTGCTACTCCCAGTCACAACAGCTACAGTTGAGCGTTCTTTTTTATCATTGAATAGAATTCTGTGTTCTGAAAGAAATCGCCTTCTGTCTGATCATGTAAATGAACTAATGAGCATATCAGTTGAAGGAATGGAAGTACTGGACAAATGAGAAGCCACCGAAGATGAACGCATTGCATTCGAGAAGTTCATTAACAGAGTTGTACAAAATTGTAACAAGAAACCAAGAAGGATGTAGACTTAGTGCTTCATAGAAGGCTTGAGTAGCCAACTTTAATTTGTGTGATTTTAAAACATGAGTTAAATATAACAAAATGGTCTTGAAACATTTTTCAGTTTTTACTATGGTGCCATAAAGCCCACCTTTACCCTCACGGTCTCACCTCTCATCAGCCCTGATCTCCCTCCCTGTAAATTCGAACCCCCCCATTTCAATTCCTGGGGAAAATACTGGGTGCAGTAATTGACATTCTTTGAGATGTGTTAGAGAGATAAAAGGTTAAGTTAACGGTGACGCTTAACTAGTTATCCATACTCCAATTTAGGGTGTCAAATTATGCAGCATCACTTGCTAAATATTACCACGGAAGTTATGGTAAATGTACGGAATTTATTAATCACAGAATACAAGAACTAGAAGGAACCTTGAGAGATCATCAGGTCCAGTCCCCTGCCCTCATGGCAGGACAAGCATTGTCTATATCATCCCTGATAGATGCCTATCTAACCTGCTCTTAAATAGCTCCAGTGATGGAGATTCCACAACCTCCCTAGGCAATTTATTCCAGTGTTTAACCACCCTGACAGTTACAAAGTTTTTCCTAATGTCCAACCTAAACCTCTCTGGCTGCAGTTCAAGCCCATTGCTTCTTGTCCTATCATCAGAGGCCAAGGAGAACAATTTTCCTCCCTGTGATGCCCTGTTAGATACCTGAAAACTGCTATCATGTCCCCCCTCAGTCTTCTCTTTTCCAAACTGAACAAGCCCAATTCCTTCAGCCTTGCCTCATAGTTTGGTTTCTAGACCTTTAATCATTTTTGTTGCTCTTCTCTCAACCTTCTCCAATTTCTCCACATCTTTCTTGATATTCCTGAAGAAAATAAATAATTTAAGTATGGGGAGTCAGTTTATCTTAGGGCTAGTATCAGTACTCAAATCCTTCTAGTAGGCCAAGTAAGTGGCAGGGCTTCCGGGGAGGAGGAGGGTTGGGGCATGGTATACGACCCCACTCCTTTTGGTGCACGCAGGGCTCTGGCTGGGAACTGAGTAGAGGTGTTGGGGCTTAACTTCTGCCCCTTTTGCTTATCCACCTGAAGTTGGGGCTCACCAGAGTGGTTTCTTCTTGCTATGCCACTGGGTTGTAACCTTTATGCATAAGGGTAGGTGTGAGAATAAATTAGATCTCCCAACATGAATATCATCCACAGATAATTACTTGTGGAGAAATCCACAGCTCTCAGCAGTCCCCTTGATAAGGTTGCCAGATGGCTGAATGAAAAATACCGAACATGCCCTCCCCCCCAAAAAAAACAAACTGCATGCTGGGAAAAAATTTTGTTGAGCAAAACAAAATAAAACAAAAGGTTGGT